CGCGCCCCCTCTCTCTCTCTTTCTCTCTCTTTCTCTCTCTCTCTCTCTCTCTCTCTCTCTCTCTCTCTCTCTCTCTCTCTCTCTCTCTCTCTCTTGCAAATTTGGACTTAAAACAGTAGAACAGCGTGCCAATGAAAAGTACCGTGGCTGATCTTGGTCTTCTCCCGCAAGATGTCTGTGATCCCCGGCCACTCTTCCTCGTTGATGTCCCATTGAAAGGCCTTGAAGCTCCCCGAGTTGAACTCATGCTGAAACACGAACAAGATATAAGCATCCATCTTTTTTTCTGGAGTTTTTTTCTATAGGGAACTGAAACTATAAGACAGAATAAGGAAAAAAGGACCCCTCCACCAATATTTTTTTTCTCATCAACCACCAGAAGTGGACTTTTCTGAGTTTCGAACATCTGGCGTGCACAAAATGCGACTTATCACGAGTGGGAATAAAGGAAGTAATGGTTATCCAACTCTCTAAATTCCACGTGACATTGATCTACAGCTTAATTATCGGAGATACGGCACATCGTCATCATCATCATCATCATCATCATCAACACACACACACACACACACACACACACACACACACACACACATACAAACATGCACACACACGCAGTATGCTTGCACTCACAAACAGGCTCACAGTCACATGCATAATATAAATAAAAAGTAAACAATAATAATATTAAACTAGATACAAACTCAGCATTCTGATTGTAACGCAATGGTACTCTGATGCATGCTCTACGGTCATACAATTATTTATAACAAGATGATTAAGACGGAAGAAGTTTGGTGGCTGATAGTAAGAATCCCCTTCTGTATCTTTCTTTTGTTACAGATTAGAAGCCTCGGTCTTCTGCTTGTGTTTTATTTGAGGGAAAAGGGGATGTTTATTGTATAGATCATTTGGAAGGCTGACTGTTTTCACATTGCTTGCCTGGGCCAATCCTGGACAGAGTAGGATACAAAATCCCAGTCGGTTTGGGCCAAATGTAATGTTGAACTTTGTTTATGATAAGCTTATTATGCCTAAAATATATTCAAGTCTCCAGTTATTAGTTGTACAACAACGATGAAGATGATGATGATGATGATGATGATGATGATGATGATGATGATGATGATGATGATGATGATGATGATGATGATGATGATGTAGACAAAAAGCTGATATCTGTGCTTCCTGTGTTACTAGTCATTACCAGACATTACCTCGTAGTGCATGCAGCTGTCGTTAGCCGCTAGAGCCGCCAAGGTAGAGTTCATCTCTATATCGTCTACAAACTGGAAAAAGTCAGAGCTCTCTGGAGTCACGTCCATTGTTATGTCCAGTAAACCTATTTGTTGTACAAAAGTAAGTTAAAATGTAGTGATTTGAATGCTTGTACGCAATGACAATCTAAAGGGATCTTTCTCTCTGTACTTCTTCCCCCCTGTCTCTCTATCTCTTTCTCTGTCTATCTTTTTCTTTCTCTATCTCGTTATTTCTCCTTCTCTCTCTCTCCTCTCTCTTTCTCTCAATCTAGTAGTGTGTAAATATTCAAATAATTCCCACTAACATTGTGTTTGATTGGAAAGGTACAGCTCTGTTTCCATTTATTGTCTCGAGCAAATATAATTCAGGATTTGAACCTCTCGTTCCATCTACACAATAGTATATTATACTTCGTATATAGATCTAGTACATTTTATAGGTTAGATAGCAAACGTACACAGAGCAAATACATTATGTTTTTCTTTTTATAATAATTTTATCCTAGAGGACCACCTGTCTAAAATGATCACTTATCTCAATGAAAATGGTGTATTGTCTAAGACTGATTCGACTTCATGTATGTTTTCATAAACACTCTCCTTGAGAAATACAGAATGGGGAAAGGTAATGCGTGATAGAGATAGCGGTAGAAATATTGTACCGGCGGTGGTAGACTATAGACAACAAACGACATGAATCTCATTCTCTAATATACTTACCTCGAGATAAAGACACATTCCCACTCTCAGAGAGAGAGAGAGAGAGAGAGAGAGAGAGAGAGAGAGAGAGAGAGAGAGAGAGAGAGAGAG